AGACTTACTGGGGGGCTGGGGGAGCTCAGACTGAGTAGTTACCCTGCCGAGCTGGGGGGTATTCCCCCTCATTCAGCACGCTGACGTCGTCTTTGTCAGCAGGCTGAATCCAGCCTCTCAGCCCAGACACCTGTTTCACATTCTGCTGCTGCAGAGCTTTTCCTTCTTGCTGGAGAGCAGATCTCACGAGCAGCTGGACAGCAAGGAGCGAACTTCTCGGGAAGTTCACGCACGTTGGAAGCCGCGGCGTGGACGTATGGTTTTGTTTGCCGGTGGACGGGCAGCTGCTGCTCTGCTCCCGTCTCTGCTCCCAGGGACGGGCACCCTGCTCTGTCCGTGGAAACGGAGTCTTTGCTTGTTTTGCCAATCCAGAGTCTGGTTTTCTTCCACAACATCGCTCTTGCCTGGCGCCTCTGACATCGTTACTGGCACACGTGCAGAACAGCTCCGTGACAGCATGGTCAGTGACCTCAGGAGCACGATTCTCGTTCGCTGGCGTTAGGGGCTCGAAGGCAGGCACCAGGCCACGTCAGGCAGCAGAGTGCTCCGTGGCTCAGCGTCGGGCCAGGTTACCCGCGTTGTAAAACAGGCCGCCTCGCCAGGCTCGGGGGCACGGGCGAGTTCCAGTTTGCAGCTCTGGCTCTCCTGGAAGGCCCAAGCGTGAATGGAAATTGTCGTTTGAAAAGGTGGATGAGAACGTGTTTAAATTGTGCCTGAGTTTAACAAGTGCTTTCACGGGTGGGTTCTGCTGGTGCCTTGTGAACTGTGTTCCTCTGGGCGTGCGCGGTCCCTGATGTCTCCAACGCTGGATGAATTTTCTGTGACGTTACGCATTGGTTCTGTTTCCCGAGTAACAGCAAGGGTGTTTGCTATTCCTCGCACTTGGAAGAAGAGTAGCCAATAGCTATGGCTTGCGCTTTGCGGCCAGCGGCTGGCAGGCCGGTGTCCGGGAGCGGCTGGGCCGGAGGACACGGGAGGGCAGCTGGGAGCCCGAGGAGCCGAGGCTCTCGCCTCGCTGAGCCGTCTCCTACCCCCTGCGTTCACGACGGGCGGGTGGGGAAGCGGTGAAGGTCTCTCCGCCGCTTGCCCGGGTGGGTCTGAGATGGGCTGTTTGTGTCAGCTGGCTGTAGTGCGTGGTTGGCGGGCACCCGAGTTTCCACGAAGGTCGTGGAGAACGGCAGCATTCCTAAAAATTGGGCTTTTGGCCTGGCTGTTGCTGCAGACAGTCTGCTGTAACCGAGTCAGTCGTGCGCTTTGCAAGAGGGCTGCGGGGAAAAGCTCTGCCTGGCCAGGCTTGTTTTCTCCCTCTCCCCTCTGAACGCTGAGGTAGGAGACCGTTCCCTTGGACTGGACGCTCCTTGCTGACCGCCTGTCTGCTGGAACATTGAGTCGGTTCTCTGGTCTGACGTGGGGGTGTCTGCTGTCTTTCCCTCCCTAGGCATCGTGATCATGATGACGCTGTGTGACGAAGTGCACGTGTACGAGTTTCTCCCGTCCAAGCGGCAGACGGACGTTTGCCACTATTACCAGAAGTTCCACGACCGTGCCTGTACCATGGGAGCTTACCACCCGCTCCTGTTCGAGAAGAACTTGGTGAAGCACATAAACCAGGGCACAGACGAGGACATCTACACGCACGGGAAGGTCACTTTGCCTGGCTTCCGACACCTGCGTTGCTCGCGGGTCCGTTCGTAGCGCGTTCAGGAATTTCTCGTGACTGTCAAAGCACTTTTTGAATCGGGGTCGTCGGCTTTGTTAGGTCTTAGCACTGGCGTGTTTGGGCAGCCCCTTCGTGCTGCAGCGCTTGCTCTGAGGACGCCGTTGCCTGGCTGCTCCCGGCGGGAGGGCGGTGTTCGCGCGGCGCGGTGCGGCCA